ACCTCTTTTGCACGTGAGTGCTGATCTGGCAATTAACAGCTTAAATTAACACCAGCAGTGAAGAGGTGTGGCTGCCTGGGGCTGACAACATCATGCTGCCCCCGAAATGCCAGTCGTCCCAGTGATTCACGCTTCATCTGGAACACATGGGATGAAGTGCTGCAGGGTTAAGGTTTGTCTGCCTGTGTTCTGCTTAGACAAAAGAAACATTTAGAACAGGCGAATGGTGGATAAAACATGCCCAATAACTCTGGTGGGAGTTAATGCATTTGCTCAAAGAATGGATGTTTGCACAGTAGGAGAGAGTCAATTGATGCAAATGTTCTGCAGAGCTGCAAAACTGAAGTGAGAATGGAAGTAAGCAATGAAATCGGAGGTGTTAAACTGCTTAAATGTTCTGAGTGGAAATTCAGGGGAAGCTGAAACCAGTGAAAACTTTTGTGTCAAAAAAGTTCTGGCAAGAAACTGAAATATTCTATCCCTTCTTGACCAGTCATAGAGCTGGCTGATGTTTTATCACTGTCAAAACATGGTTTGTGAACACTGAAGGGGAAAAAGGGGTGGAGGGTTTTTGAAAATCCCTTTTGTCTCCTTTGCTATTCTAACAAACTTACGGTTTGTAGCCTTTAACTGTGTGTTTTCCTCAGGGTAATGTTTGAGCTTCAGCTAAGCTTTTTAAAACACACACATGTACACACACCCATACCAGATTTTTCAAGCTGAAAGATGGAATTCCTGGGTAGCAGCATGTAAAAGCTGCATGGATATCATGTTATCATGTGGCTGTGAAAAGCCTTGATGTGACCCTGAGACAGTGGGGGCCATCCCGCTGTTAGTCAGGTTAGGACCAGGCACTGGGACAGCACAATGTTTTAAGCCACAGTCAGGGGGGAGGCGGGGGGCAGGGGAGTTTCCCTAAATATTTGAACTAAATTCTGAATGTCTCTAAAAGACAATACACAAACTTTTGAGATTAGCCCAAAATGTACTTCAGTTCATATCTGCAGTGATGTAGAGTGATAATGGTAGGAGATAAGTTACTCAATTGAAAGCAGGGAGGAGATGTGAAGCTGTTTTAGAACAGCCTGAAAAAAAATTACTTTTTTTCTTTTCCCTAGTGAAGAAATTCTTAAATAGCAAGCTATCTGTTAACAGGTATCTGGTTAAGTGACTCTATGAAGTAACAAAGATGCACACAGTACAAAAAATATTTGGGATTATGGTGTTCTCAAGTAAAATGACTTTATCTTCTGTGAGGAGATGAAAACCTACTTCTAAATCTGCAAATATGATGAAAGCCCCAAATAAACAAAGCTCTGTTTGAATGTTTTAAGTATTCTGTTATACGTATAGCTTAAAGTCTCCATCCAATGTAGAAGTTATGTGATCTTCAGTCTTGTGCATGTATCTAGTTGTATATATTTGTTCTTGCTAATGTATAATCAAAATATCATAAATCCATGCTAATGACTGTAAGTCCCATTATGAATTATTCAGATTTTCTAATTCCTGATTGAGATAAAATGCAATAGTTTGTTCATTTTATTATGACTGCATTCTAGATTTAATTATTCATCAGATCATAACAAAAGGCAATATATTTTGTAAATATGACTGCTTAATAGTATGGCACATCAGTACAGCAATCTGATACTGAATGAGTGAGGAATGAGTAATTAATTTTTATTTGAATTATAAATCATGTAGATTACTGCAATATAGGTTAGCAAATCCTGCTGTAGTCTTGTGTTGTAAGCCTAGCAATACTGTATCAACAAATGTGTTTCAGCACTGGGTAAAATGAATGGAGTTTCCACCGAGGGACTGAATTGAAGCTGTGTTGAAAAACTCTTCTATAGCGCTGTTTTGAAATTATCTGGTAGCAGGTGTATTTCCTGCCTTGTGTAACTGCGTCTATCATCCCTCTCGTGTCACACGGCTGCTCTCACTTGTGAGACAGCTTTCAAGACTCAAGTATATTTTTAACGTTGTAATACGCTGCATAAAATGAAAGCATTGCATAGAGTGAAGTCCAGTTGCGGTTTGTTATGGTGCTCTGTGCCCTGTGTGACCGTGCATGCGAGAGGACAGAAGTAGCTTCGGGCATCAAAATCCCTCTGTGGCTGGACTGCACGGGGCGAGGCTGTGATGGCCTCAGGTCTGGTTTGGGTTGTCCCTCCCTGAATCCTTAAAGAAAACCAAGTAAAATTTACAAAAGTGTGAAGTGCACCCTCTTTCCTCCCTTGTGCCTTTTGTTTTTTTCAACAAACAAATAAGGACTTAAGATAGAGATGAAGCGGTTTGTGCCTCGATCTTGTCTGCAGTCCTTACTGTGCATGTGATTTTTTTTCTGCAGCATTTGCTTGCCTTAACTCCTCTCCCCTTCTCTTTGTAACCTAATAGAGTCACACAATGGGAGTTTGTGGGCACAAAAAGGAGGGGTTTTGCCTGGAAGCCCAACTCTCCCTCTTAGTGGCAACTGTCAAAACTGTTATGGCTTTTTTGGAGTTACTGTTGATTGCTGAAAAAATCAAACAATGCGGAAGGGCTGGGGCAGGAGAGCGGTCAGCTGGCAGGTGGGGCAGCGTTTAGTGCTCCGGGCCGTAAGATCATTGCTGGTTTGGGCACACGTGGCTGCTGCCATGAGGAGCTGTGTCTTGTCATTTGCTATCCTTTCCTCCCCTCACCCATCCATCCGAGTTAGTGATGAAAAAGGTATTTTTCCACAGACCATTTTCCCTTTCCAGTGAGAAAGGTAATTAAAAAGTTGACATATACTTTCCAAGAAGCATGGTTTGGAAACACTTGGTGTCCCCATCCACCCCCAGGGGTGGGCTCCATGTGGGAAAGGAAGCTTCTGGGGTACCACTGCAGAGCCGGGAGCAGAGCGTAACCCTATTGGGGGGCCAAAGGATGCAGAAGGAAATGGAATTTGGTCATTTTTCTCCCATGAGATCTTGCTCAGTTATGGGACATGTATTCTTTCATTCTCCCCCTCTTTTTCCCTTCTGTTAGATACAGTTTCTTAAAGTTGTTTTCTCATGAGCAGATATTTCATGATCACAAGCACTATGTGTGTTTAATTTTTCTAGTTGCTTTTTACAAAGCAAGCCGTGCTGGTGATGTGAACTTTGCAGTTTCCAAAATGTAATGTTACCTCCTAAATAACAAGTAACAAGTACAAAGGGACAGTCTTCTGCTGAGGGGGGTTGTATTATTTGTAAGTGCCGATATTTTTAAACATGGAAGATAGCACTTCACCTTGCTTAAGCTTCCTACCCTTGATATCTAATGACTACTTAGCTCTATACGACACTATATAAGGTTCTTCTACTATTGTTTGAAACACAGAATAAGTGCTGTAGATACCTGAGAGCAGAAAGGAGCTGGTAATGTAGGCTGTCTCTGTTTCTCCTGAATTAGGCAGCATGGATTCCCAGATGTTTTGAATTATACCCATTTCTAAAAATGTCTCACTTACCTATAAGTGTTACAGTTTTGCAAAGAAAAATTATTTGGCTTGAGACTGTATACCAAACGCAGACAAAAGAAAGGATTATGTTGACTTTTTCATCTGGTCTGGCCTATTGGAGAAGCTGCCATCTAATACTGCTGTCGGCATGCAGGGAGAGTTTTCAGTTCTCACTTCAGACTGCAGAGTCCGTCCTCTCAACCAGAATGCAATTCCCTGGTGGATCAAAACTGTGCAAGGCCAGCCTAGCAGAGGCTGGCTTCCAAATGTTTAGTTTTGTTGCCGAGTCTCAACAGGAGAGTGCTGCACCTTCAACAGCGCCATTCTGCAGCGGGGGAGACCATGTGCTTTGTGTGATGGAGCCCACCCACTGCTTGAGGAATCTTCCTAATAACACAGAACTGCTGCCATGGAGCAGGCTCCTTCCACTCCAGCATCAGTTTAGTTGGCTTATGTTCATGTTTGGTTGGTGTTTGCACACCAGCAGCATGACAAGTGCCCCATCACAAAGCAAACTTCTGTACAGACTCCAAAAAATACCGTTTCTGCCCAGTCTTGATGTGACCTGCATCTGTTCTGTATACAGTAGGTATGAGGTATATTGCAAATCCACTAATTTAAGTCGTATTTCACTGTAACCTGAAAATGTACATCTTAAGTGGAAATCCACAAGGAGAAATGTAAAAGCTTTGTGCAGTTTCTTAGTGCAGCATTCTACGCATCCATCTCTCTTACTACATCTTAGTGCCCGTGTTTTACATGAGTTCATTAACAGAGTCAGAGTTACATCTCTCGAACCCTTTTCATTATGGTTTTAAACCAGCTGAACCCTCAAATTCAGCCATAGGGCACTCCAGCTAGTTATGAGGAGTAAAATTTCTTAATTCATCTTATGGAAACAATTTCTTAAAGCTACATATGTCAAACCTACTAAAAGCACCCTTGCTAAATATGAGGAACTTTAAGGGACCATGACAAGGAATGTGTTTCCATTTGTTGTTACTCACCGGTGAAACTTCGTGTTTACAACATCGTGTGAGAGAACTAGTGAGGCTTGTGTGTGCCATATGCCAAGCTCTGTGTGCTGCGTTTCATTTGTTGTGAACTTCACTTGGACACCTTCCTGCTAGCCCAGCTAGCGGTAGTGAAGGCACTGTTACAACAGTGTAACGACTTGCTAGATCAAGTTGTGGTAAGTGGCCAAGCATGATTTTTCAGGGTTTTTTTGTTCAGAGATGTCAAAGGTGGAGTTGTCTTCACACCAGTTATGTCTTTTATTGTATTTAAAACTATAATTTGCTTCTGCTGTTCCTCCCTGAAAGACATTACCAGGTGATCAGTTGTGTCAAGATACTGCAGCTGTCAGTTGCCTCTCTCTTTTTTTGCATATAACCAAATGAAATGTGGAAGGAAAAAAAAAAAAAGAAAAAGCTCAACTATGGTTATTTAAAAGATCGTCTCAGTTAAGAAAACAGAGCTAAACCCAGTCCATTCCATACAAAAAAATCTGGGTGTGTGTTTTATACAGGTTCCACAAAGGAATTGATTGAGAGCTGCTGTGGAGCTGGACAACAGTGGGCTATAGACAACGGGGAGTGCACAGAAATCCCTGTAAGTGGAATGGATGGTGATATTTGCAGGTACGTAAGGTGAAACCCAGCATTTGAGACTAACATAGGGAGCAGCCCTTTAGAAGAAATCAAATGATTGTGCAATTTGTGGGGTGTCCAGGAGACTGGGAACTATTTCATTCATTGCATAAATTATTGCTAGACTGGCAATGTGTCATGGCAAATCAGAAGGAAGGCTTTCTCCCTCCCTTTTCCCAAAATCTAATCTAAACAAAGCCTTTTAAGGTTTCTTTTCCTCTCTCATGTAAGCAGAGCACAAGTTTTTGTTTCCCAGTTTTATGCGCATCTGTGGAGTTGCAGATAAATAGAAGGGTAGAGTTTGTCTTCCATTTGGCAAGTGCTAAATGCAATGATTATCCATGTCATTAAACAATGTGTTTATTGTCCAGTATGAATGGCTGCTGGTTCTGATGCCTTGTTCAGCTGGAGGGGGGACCATACGCCTTGATAGTGCTGCTGGTATGAGTTGCATCTGGTCAGAGCGAGGGTGCCAGATATAAACTGCACGGACGGCAAGAAAAGAAGAATGGGTGCAGAGTAGCACAGGCAACATACTGCACTAGTTGCAGTTCATCCCATCTCTCTCTCCTCCCCCTTAGTCTGAAACAGGCCTTAGGGAGGGATGAAGGCAACGTTGTTTGAGACTCACGCAGTGTAACATAAGCCAGATGGATTTCTCCAAGAGCGATCCCAACATTGTCAGCATTGAAAAGGTTTGGGTTTATCAAAGTTAGTATCATTGCACCTTTCTGAAGTTCCTGGGAGATTCAAATCCCCCCCCACTGGGGTCTGGTGTGACATAACTGACACATACCAACTGTCTGTGAAGTAAAGGCAGATTAAAAAATTCCAGCCTTGGCCTAAGTAGGTGCAAATCCAGTACATTAATGACTTGCACCTGCACAACTGAGGCTGGGTTTAGATGAAAAAGCCAGGTCCTAAATGTTTCAGGCCCTGTGAATCTGTTGGGATTTGAAAGAATAAGAGATCAGGAGTTCAGTTGTTTTACTTTCAAAATTTCATCTGTGTCCATCTTTTAAAGATTTAAAACCACCTGTAAATAGTCTGTGTAAAGAAAACATTTCATGTAAAAAAAAAAAGTATTCAAATCCATGGCCTCAGAACCTTGAAAGCATAGACAAAAACTTAGTGCTGCCCTTGGAGATGTGCCAGCGTGCGGAGCTGGTCGCCGTGCACATACCCAGGCCTCAAGTGCACCGTTTTGTGTGCCAAACGCCTGCAAGTCATGCAAGCTCCCCAGAGTCTCCCACAAACTCCACGCAGTATCTAAAGATTTCAAAAAGTAGAAGACAAAAACTAATTGTAAAAATTAGTCACTGTTCTGCCAGGATAGTTTTCTATAAATATTTGGGTTTTACACATGACCACCGCTGCACTGAAGGATTGATTTTTTTTTTATTATTATTTTTTTTTTTTTATTTTTTCAGCTGAGGCAAATGCGTGAAGCCTCCCCTGTGTCTGCTGAGGCTGTAGTTTGCTCATATAGACATTGCAGATTGAGGCATCTGTGGTTTCCAAATGCCATTTGGGGGTTTTCAAGTGGCAAAAACTTAAATGTTAAAGCTACTTGTTGTTGTATGTTGATGTCTCTGGACATTCTGGTAGCAACTTGGCCTATGTCTGTGTAGTGACCAACAGTGCCAACTGCAGGGTGGGAGCTGGGACTACCTAAAAGAGATCATGTGTAGTAGCTAGGTGAATGAACTTAAAATAAAGCAAGGTACAGGCAATCCTTAGATAATCAGTCGATAGCTGGATGTAAAAGCAATAGGATGTTAGGCTAGATGAAATCTCATCTGACCCAGTATATCAGTTCTTATCTCATAACTGATATGTGCTTTATCATAACAGAGCAGTTTTTATCTGGGTGGCATTTGCATCAGCTGTACAAGCATGAATCTTGCTTTTGGCTGATGCTCTGTGTGCCAGTTATAGACTGACATCAGTTTAATACATTGATGTCATTTCACTGATCTTAAGTCATTAACT